TGAAGCTCGGGCTCATACTTCTCTGCAGCGGGGCGTCGCTTTCCTCTCCGGACTTCATGGCAAAGCGAAGTATGCTCTTTTTCCTCCGTTAGGATTTTTTCCCACAGGGTTTTTCCTCAGCGGAGTTTTTAATGAGGTACCCCTTTGTCATGACCATGGAAGAGCAGCACCCCTGCCGGGCGAATGCGCCCGGGAAATTGAAGATTTACTCTCTCTCACCTCAAGTTTCACTTTCGCCTCGGAGAGTGGGGGACTCATGATGGAGTATATTCCCGTATACCCCAGGGGTACCACGACGCTAGTAGAGTGCCTTGCGGGTTCATCGAGGGCAAGAAAATACTAAGCCCACATCTGGATCCGACCCTGACCCCGAGCGCCGAGGTCGGGAAAGCATCAGGTTCGGGAATCAAGTAAACTCAGCAGATAACGGAGTCCACCGACCCCGACCCCGACCTCGAGGTCGGGAAAACATCAAGATCAGGAGCCAACTAAACTCGATGATTCATGAGCCCGACCTCGGGACGTCCGACGTCGGCACCAAGTCTAACCTCGAAAGTCTCACTCTAGTGTCAACGTCAATCAAGGCACTAGGCGGTCAAACCACCTCCAAAGCAAAAATGGAAGACAGCAGAACGAATCCTTTCAACATGGGTCCGAGCCCCCCAGATACCGACCTCAGTAATCCTCGAGGTCGGGAGAAAAGCACCATGTACTTAAACGAGATTCGCAAGGGATGAATTCGTGAGGAAACATCACCACGTCACTCTCCGCGCTGACGGAATGTACCAGATTATCTGCGTACGACTACACGGGATCTTTGGCAGGATTTCTGTTAGAGGAATGATCAATCAGCCAGCTACCAGAGGCTCTCTCTCTCCAATCAACTTTCCACGTGGCTGCTCCCGGTCCATTCAGTCTGGTAGTTTGTTAGAATAGCTTTATACGTGTCCCTCTCCTATTAGACTATTATCTTTTTACTTGGGCACCAAGCATTTCCCTTTCCCCTTGGTATAAATATCACCTTCCAACTTGTGGAAAGGGATCGAATTTTGGAGGCTTGAGCTTTTATCAATCGCACTCTAAATTTCATACTGTGAGACTTGCAAACCAGATCACTCACCCCATTTCCTCTCCTACTCTCGGTGGATTCCGGCCACCCCTGGTCCGACGATCCATCATCTACATAATGCATTCATTAGTTGGAGTATACATCAATCTGTGTTGTAATTTATGGTTTAAAATCAATACTTGAGCAATATACATTAATATACTGTGTTAAAATATTATAAAAATATGATACAAAAATTTCTTATATATGTACTCCCTCCCACTCTAAGGTTCTCATTTTCCTTAATTATACATCCCATATAAAGGTTCTCATTTTCCACCATCTCAAAATTGTGCTGAAATGTAAGAATTTATGGATTCGAAAATGTCATTGGCGTTCTCTCCGGCAGAGAATATGTAGAATTGTCTTTAATCAATGGAGGTAGCTGATTTATATATGATCTCCACGAAAATGTCATTGGCGGGGAAGTACTGTTCATCTTCCCGATAATCGGCGGACCTGCATCGAGCGTCGGAGGCTGAGACTTAGCATCCTTCATCGCGTTCAGGGCAGCAAGTGTGATTCTCCGACCTGCCATACCTATGAGGAAACAAAGGCCACAGTAGGGCAGCAAGTGCGATTCTCCGACCTATCATACCTATGAGGAAACGAAGGTTAGGGCAGGGCAGCAAGTGCGCTTCTCCGACCTGCCATACCTGCGTAGAAACGAAAGTCAGGGCAAGGAAGCAAGTGCGTTTCTCCGACGTGCCATACTAATGAGGAAATGAACAAAGTGAGCGGTTGGGTTATCTCCCCTTACCCGACCTAAGGAGCAGTTTATACCTTGCTCTTCTTGGAAAGTTGCTCTTCGCAAAGCAGGGAAGCTGCTCTCTTTCCCCAGCACCAGACGGAGAAGCTCCGTGCTTCTCCCCTGCATGAGATGGACCTGCATCAGATGTCGAAAGCTGAGACTTAGCATCTTGCATCGCAGGTAAAGCACAGAGAGCACTTCTCCTATTTGCCATGTCTGTAACAAGTAATAATAGCAATCAACAGGGACTACATATCATGGTGGACTACTCACTGCATCCTCTCGGGAACGTCAGACGAGCATTGCTCACAAGTGAAGTTTGGTCTTTGCCATCCCCTCGGCAGATGGCGACCGTTGCAGCTGCACGTAGTGGCCGGAGGGCTCACCCTTTTGCTTGATTTTGAGGAAGACCTCGGGCTAGTAATAGGATAAACAAGACCTCAGACTGCTAATCGAACAAACAAGACCTCGGGCAGCTAATCAGACAGACAAGAACACGTGCTGCTAATAAGGCAAACAAGACCCTGAGCTGCTTCCCTTACGAAGGAAACCATATCCTTTCGCAAGCGGTGGGGATCAATGTGGAAAGCTGTGCAACTGGCCTTTTCAGAGCATACCTCGCTTGACCACATCAGCAGACAGCTGAGCGGCTGGCTCTCCTGAGCATACCTTGGCTCGGCATTATCAACAAGTAGCTGTGCAACTAGCCTCTCCCGAGCATACCTTGGCTCGACCGCCACCACGGGCAAACAACCCTTACAATCGTGCAACTGGCCTTTCCGGAACTTATCTCGGCTTACCAGTAAAGCAGACACTCAATCACGAACCGAGGGGAGTAGCCTTCCTTTACTTTATTTTAAGGTTCTGGTGTACTCTTTTTCCTTTACTGTGATTTTTTTCTCACCGGGTTTTTTCTTGGTACGGTGTTAACGAGGCACCCTCTCATCATGAACAAAAGAAGAGGTCTCCTGGTTCGAACAAGGAAGACTTTATCCTTTCACAAGCAATTGGATCAAATTCAAGGCTCGTTAATGACCGGTCGGCTGGACCAGGGTCTTGACCAATTCCAAAACAGCTTAACTACTCTTTTTAGCTGAGTCTACTACTCGACTAAGGGAGTGGAGGGCTCTTATTGGGATAATGGGCCGGGTCAAAGACTATCGGCCTGTCACACCCGAGCTTTGGCCCGACCAAGCTCAGAACACAGTCCGACTAGCGGATATTGGTCCGGGATTATTTAATCACTTATTGGGTTGGTTGGCCTATTAGCGTCAGTATTAGTTGATAAATCGGTCAAGCCCATGTTACACTTAATTGGTGGGCATGTTGTATATGCCTATAAATAGGCCACCAACCCCTTGTATTCACCTAAGTTATTTTCACTATACTGAAATGTTGCTAGTTTCTCTACCCGAGATATTTTCTACCAACACAAGCTATCTTGTTAAAAGTAATTATTTTGCTCTTTTCATTGATGATTTAGTCGGAAAATATGGGTTTATTTCCTAGAACAAAAATCCGACGTTTTTGGGACCTTCAAGAAATTTAAAGCTCATGTTTAAAATGAAAGCGGGTTTAAAATAAAATTCATAAGATCCTATCGTGAGGGGGAATTCCTTTCAAAAGAATATTAAAGTTTTTGTGAAGAAAACCATATTCATCACCCCTTAACGGCTCCATATACTCCACAACAAAATGGACTTTTTGAAAGGAAAAAATGATCTCTTCTTAATACGATTCGAGGCATGCTTATTAGCAAAAATGTTTCAAGAGAATTTTGCGCAGAAGCGGTGGATTGTGCAATAAATTTGTCAAAGTGATCCCCTTCTTGATACGTTTGACTAAAACCTTCGAAACCGCACGGGTAGCTCAGTTGGTCGAGTGGTGGGAGATTTGGAACAATAGAGAGAGGTTCGAATCTCCGCAGCGACCGAGTGGAGGTCACAGAACCTGAAATAAGACCGAGCCTCTTGTGCGCACGGATGTATGGGCCCAGGGGCGAATCTAGCATTTACGTTCAGGTGGGGCCAAAATTTAATTAAATAACGTATATTATAAAAAAATGTCAAAATGTAGTACAATATAATAATATCTTAGAAGTCAAAATGTAAATTATAGAAATGTCAAAGAATAAATTGAATATTACAGAACCGACAATACAATTATCTTAAAAGTCATAGATATCGAACCGAAGTTTTATCGGTTACCCAAATGTTTAGTGCCAATTTTTAGGTTAGTTTCTCGAAAACAAGATAAACCGGTTTTTTTACTCTAAAATCTATACTCTATGTAAAGAAAACTTATTTTCACCTACGAAATCCAATGTATTCAACTAATTAATTTTTCGATCAATATTCAAAAGCCCAATGAATTAAACTAATTAATTTTTAGGACAATATTCAAAAAGCTCAATCAATTGAACTAATTGGTTTTTCAGACTAATAAAGCCCAATTAGTTGGACTACTTAATTTTTGCATCCTAGTATTCAAAAGTTAAAATTCAGACTTGATTTGTGTAAGATAACATGTTCATGGACTTGGATGGAAAATACAAAAAAAAATGTTGTTCCAACTAGGAGTTGAACACATAACCTCTACACTGCCAATCACGCATCTACCATCACAACAATGTAACTTTTGTTTACAATAGGACGTTTGTTCTAATTATACCATTTCTTCCCAGTACATATATAATACGGAGTATATATATATACTAGTAATTTTTTTTTGAGGTGGGGCCTAGGCCCTCCCTGACCCTATGCCAGATCAGTCCCTGTATGGGCCTACTGTCATTCTGCTGAATGAGTCACCGTGACTAACTTCCCCACCATCCTGTCGGGTCAGAGTGGGGGCTCCTGGGGTGGGAGATTCCACCTTATTGGAACAATTGAATAAAACCTTCTAAGAAGCATGAAATGAAAGAAAGCCGAAAGTTTTTTGAGGTCAAACCCCCAAAGAAAAAACCCGAGACCACAGGGTCGTTTTGGATTTGAGTTGGTTTTGCTACCTACTCGCTACTACGGTACTACCGACCCAAAAAGACAGAAGACACTTAAAATTGAAACGTGTACGGTTTATAGTGGAGCATGTAGGCAAATGTACTGCTACTTCTCAATATAAAATGTACTATCACGTAGTATTGGGTGCCCTGCACATTTGCATCATGACTGCGTTTAAGCTACACCGGCCGGCGGCCTCCCTAATGGTTTCTCTCTTCTTCCTTTTAGCTGCTCTGTTTTTATTCCCGTTCGACGCCGTTGCGGCGAACTCCTCCCCACAGCCCAGTCCATTCATCGAACGGATCTACCAATTTGGCGATTCCATCTCCGACACCGGTAACCTATTGCGCCTTTCCGGCACTCGCATGTTCTACCCTGCCTACCGCCTCCCGTACGGAGAAACCTATTTCGGTAAAGCCACCGGTCGATTCTCAGACGGCCGCCTGATCGTGGATTTCATCGCTGACCATCTTCGACTCCCATTCGTTGAGCCTTACTTGAACAAAAACGCAGCATTCGCTCACGGCGTCAATTTCGCCGTGGGCGGAGCGACGGCTTGCGACGAGGAGTTCTTCACGAAGAGAAACATCACCTCCGTCACCGGATTCAAGCCGCCCATGAGCACGCAGTTGGAGTGGTTCGAGAAGTACCTGGACACGACTTACGGAAGTAACCGAACGTCGATTGAGCGTTCGAGAAGCTTCGAGAAATCGCTCTTGGTTTTCGGGGAATTCGGCGGGAATGACTACGCCAAATTCTTACGGGAAGGGAAGTCGTCCCCCGAGGTGATTAAAACTTGCGTGCCGTACGTCGTTGATGCGATCATTCGAGGAATCAACCGGACCGTCGAGCTCGGGGCAAAGCGGATCCTGGTCCCCGGCCCGTTCCCAACCGGGTGCCTAGTGTCTCAGCTGGCTTCCGGCCAGACCGATTCGGCTGCCGCGTACGACGAATTCGGTTGCCTGATATCATTGAATAACATCGGTTCCACACACGACCGCGTCCTTAGAGGCGCCCTTTCCTTGCTCCGTCGAGAAGTAGCCGGGAAGGGCGTGGTGATTGTTTACGGGGATTACGAAGGCGCCTTTCGGCAAATTCTCCGAAACCCTTCATTGCATGGATTTGATAAGGAGTGGCTTCTGAAAGCTTGTTGTGGAGCCGGAGGGGAGGGTAGTAATGAGTATCGTTACGACATAGCAAAACCTTGCGGAACCTTCGGCACCGACGTATGCGCCAACCCTGGCCGCGCCCTGCAATGGGACGGCGTTCATCTCACCGACGCAGCTCATCGTCGCATTGTTCATCTCCTCTTAACTGATCCAGCGGTCAATCACTTGCTCTTCAAACCACATTTATTCCAAAATTATTCTCCAATTTAACATGTCCCAATCAGCTATATCTCATCAAATAAAAAAGGGTTACTTTATGCACCTAAATATTGCTTTTTTTACCCCAATTCAACAAATAATGTCCTTGCTACGGAGTACTCCGTATTTCCTAAGCATTCACGTATGGGCTACGATAGGATTTGACTGAATATTTAAGGTCCTTAAGGATAAATAGTACTCAGTAGGATATTGAAATGTGTTGAAAATGTACTATGTACTATCAAAATATTCGTATATCATAAAAAATAAAATGTACTCCCTCCGTCCCTTATAATTTTGCCAATTTTCCTTTTTTGGTTGTCCCAAAAACTTTGTCACTTTCTCTTTTAGACATTCAATTTGTGGTTCTTGTGATTTCTCTCTCCTCTGCACAAATCTCTACCACACAGTTTTTACTTTATTATTCTACGTGCCGGTCAAACTTGACAATCCTTTTAGAGACGGAGGGAGTACGTAGTATTTGTAAACATTCCATACGAAGAGAATGTGTTTTTCGTAGTTTAAATGTATGCTTAAATAAACGGCAATTTCTACGGTAGCTTCAAGCTGCATGAAGCTACCTAACTTGTACATATGGACCAATCAAAAATATCAATTGAATAATTTAAATGTAAATAATATGAAATATTGAGTTGGATCAATGAAATGCATGCTAGGTACGGTGTCTTTGAATTTTTGTTGGATACTATAACACTCACCTAAATAAAAACTAAGATCCGATTTGGTGACCTTATTTTTCAGTTATCAAGTTTTCCAACTAACTTTTTAATCAAACATGTAACTTTGATTTTGTGTGCTGAGTTGTATAATAATAATAATAAATAAAAACTAAGGTTAGAGTTACTTTTCTGATTGTATTGACTGTAGTTACTGTGGAGGATCATTTTATCTTTTTTTTCATATAATCTTTTCTTTATTTTATTAAGAATTTTTTTAAGTACTACATATAATTTGTCATAAATCAGCAGAATCAGTCAATTCTGAGCATAAGGAAAAAGAATGCATGCATTATATTACTCCCACTCAATTTAACATACATCTCGAAGACGACACATTCAAAATTTGTGGAACAGTTTGTTGCATGTCTTGATTTGTTTCACATCAACCATTCCTTCTTTCTCAAGATCATGTGTGGAGAAAAGTTTTGGTGTTATAAACTTTGTTCTATCCCCTTTGATGTAACATCCTTTGACTTGGGCTATATCTTGCTAACAAATTTATAGAAAAAGCTAGCAATATCTTGTGAGGTTAATATTAGCCAAATACATTAATGCTGGCTTCAATAGCACTCAAATATATTATTTGTGGACCAATGATTTATTCATCATATTCACAAGGTCGAAGAAAATCATCATTCACATTGAGAGATTGAAAAATGATTGGAGAATTGAATAATGTGTTTTATCAATGTAAAACCGCTTTAAGGGTTTCTTGGTATAATTTGATTGGTGGATAAAATATCATTTCTCACATGTTCAATTTGAATGGTGAGACATAATTTTGTTCTCTCAGGGTCTTTCATTTCAAATTCTTTCATTATATATTTTGCAGTATTTTCAATTTCATTAGGAGTTCCAATAATGTTTAAATCATCAACATATACTGCAATTATGGTGAATCTGGATTTGGATCGCTGAATGAAAACACATGGACTAATAGGATCGTTATATATATATATATATATATATATATATATATATATATATATATATATATATATATATATATATATATATATATATATATATATATATATATATATATATATATATATATATATATATATATATATATATATATATATATATATATATATATATATATATATATATAGGGGAGGGTTCCGGTGAGAAAGGAGTGTTAGGAGAGAAAAAAGAATGAATTATAGCCATTGATATTATTCATCTGATGGACAATAAAAGTTACACCAAGGCACCTAGTTTCGGTTATATTAATGTTTTTATAAGGAAGGTTTACATATCATTAATTAGGAGGGGTATTAATGTCAAATAAAGTAAAATACAGTTGCACGTGTGCTGCTATATTTATAAATCTTCCTAAGAAGTAGGACAAGTATTTATTATCTCCTCAAATATCTTTAATCCTTATACGAAGTATTTTCTTTACTCGGAAATCTCTCACTTATCATTAAAGCATGCTTAAAACACTCTTCTTTTTCAATTAATTTGCATCATATGATTCAGGTTTAGTTTGTTTCTTGAGATAAAATCATTTCTCAATGAATTCATTGAGAAAACACTTTCATCAATATGCACTTTAATGTTGATAAAATGCACTTTAATTTAAAATTTAATATATTTTTGATTTCATCATTTAACAATGTTTTGTGCTCTAAAATATATACCTCACAATTTGTGTCATTCACTTTAATTTTTTGCATTAATGCACTAGTACAATGGTATGTATTTACTTTATGCTACTCCATTAAAATATAATTTATTTAATTTTTTTTTGGATGAAATGTAAGTATATATAAAGCATCCAAAAATAACATATTACAATGTATCGTTCCAAATCAATATGACTACCTAAGTTAGAATACTCTAACCTATGTTTAATGCATCACAAAATATAATTTATTTAAAAATGTGCACTATAGGCGTTACAAAGTGCAATGATTAAAATGCATGTTATTCTCATAGGAGAATGCAACATTTAGATACTAATTATGCATTACAAATCGCAATGATTAAAATGCATCTTATCATCATAGGAGAATGCAACATTTAGATACTAATTATGCATCAAAGTGCAATTTATGAGATTAGTTACTAATTATGCATCAAAGTGAATTAGAGTTATTTAAGTTTTTGCACCTTTGAGGTGAAGTGCAATGTGTATGAGCGTATACGTGCATCAAGTAACATTAATGCACACTTTTACAAATAGCATTTCTTATCTCATTAACATGCACATTTTATCTCATTAAAATACATTTTCTATGTAATGTTTATTTAGTTATTAATCTCATAATTTGTGCACAACTATCATAAAATATGAAAAAAGTATCCACAAAAATACGGAAGCTTGAAAATGGTAAAACAAAAAATGATAAGATGAACCTCACGTTTAAGAAAATGTGCAATGAAAGATTGTTAAAAGTCCACAATATTAGATAAAAAATGAATGCACTTATAGCACTTTATATTGTAATAAATTTTATTGAGACAATTAATTAAAATAGTGATATAATTAAAGAATAAATTGCAGACGTGATATGATTAGAAAACAATAATACTCAAAGTTTGATTCAATGAGAAAATGAAATGTGTTATAAATCATAAAGATCCATAAATTTCAATAATTGCACTTCCTAAAATAGGAAAGGAAAACAACGCAATAGCTCATTCTTTAATGCTATGAAAAGTAAAATTCCAATGCAATCCTTACGTGAAATGATCTTAGAGACTATATCTAATGGTTTGAAATGCTTCTCATTTCTCTCCTAAGATGATTTTCTCACATGAACTTAAATCTATATATATATATTTCTTTAATCAAATATTCATTAAGACGGTTATACCACATACGTCCAGATTGTTTGAGTCCATATAATGACTTTTGCAATTTTATGAAAAATAAGACTCGAGATTTCGAGCTATAAGCATCAAGTAATTTAAAGCCTCCAGGAATTTTCATGTATGTGTGTGTCGAGTGAACTATATAAATATGTGTAATGATAATAATAGCTCATTTGGTGATCATGTTTTCATGCTTATTAGTCAAGTTTTTCACCAAACATGTAACTTTTGATTTCGCACGCTGAACTGTACGGAGTATAATAATAATAAAAAGTGGGGTTGAAGTTAGTTTTCTGGCTGTATTGACTGAATGGGCTGTAGCGGATCATTTTAGTAGTTTTTCATATAATTTTTTCTTTATTTTATTAATCAAATATTTTTTAGATTTTTTTTCATAATTCAGCAGAATCAGTCAATCTAGCCATTTGAGTCAAAACTTCATAAACTTCAGCAGAATCAGCCAATACAGCTGATTCAGATATAACTAAACATGCTCTAAGCTGCAATAATTTAATGCTTACATTTTAGTGATAAATTAAATAAAGTTTACAACCGTAACCCTTCGTAAAGTTGTAGAAAAGCAAGTCTAGATTTTATCTTACTACCTTCCCTAATATTGATACAAGATGAGGTGATGGGGTTATCAAGGAAATATATTTACATGGTGTGCAAGTTCTTCTAATAGATTCGAGAGGCTATGTTCTGAATGCTAGTCTGAGATGCCATATAATAAGGTTTGACAGACATAAGTATCTGTTTTCTAGCTTTTGTACTGTTTAAAAAGTCTCTAAAAGCTTTTAGTTGTATATTTGGCATGAAAAAATTTAAGATCTTTTCAAAAATTAAAAGATCTTTTTTGAGATGCAACGGGGAGTAGCATTTGAGAAAAGACCGTGACTTTTAGTATTAATATGTCCTAACAGCTTGTATACGAAACAGAACTATATCAAACAGTCGGTTTTTTACCAAACAGATACCACCTTTTCTTTTTAAGATATTTTCAGTCACTAAAAGTTAACAGTTACTTAAAAGCTCACAAAAGTATCTTTTCAGATAATTCCTGCCTTCTAGTTTTTGTATTATTTAAAAAGTCTTTAAAAGCTTTTAAGTGTATGTTTGGCACACCAATTTTTAAGAGTTTTTATAAAAATAAAAAGTCTTTTTTGAGATGTTACAGTGAGTAGCATCTCAGATAAGTCCGTAGATTTTAGCATTAATTAATCCTAACAGCTTGTATACCAAACATAGCTAAATCAAACAGTCAACTTTTTACCAAACAACTACTCCCTTTTCTTTTTAAGGTCTTTTCAGTCACTAAAAGCTACCGGAGTAACAGTTACTAAAAAACTCATAAAAGTATCTTTTCAGATAGTTGTGCCAAACATACCCTAAGTAAAAATGATAAATTTATTATATGTAGTATAATAAAGTACTTTGAAATCAAATTAAATGTTTGATTGTTTGAAAAGTGATGACAACTCCAATATCCATTTAAAAAATGTGGTATCGTACCTACCATTCACTTGATTGGTCCAAATCATTATATCATTTTTAATTTAGATTTAAATAATTCAACTACAACATTCTGATTGATCCATGTGGACAAAATTATCATACCTTATGGGTAGCATAGAATCTACATTCTAAATACTACAGTGAGACCCATATTGATAAAATTATATAATAAAGTACTTTGAAATTAATTTAAATGTTGAAATTATTTATTGATACGTAAGAAAAATTGAAAAAAATTGACACAAGT